GGGGGGGGTCAAGAAGGGTTGATTCACGTGTTTAACTGTCACAAACTGAATGGCTGCACGGCAAGTGCAGCGCAAACAAGTGCAGAAGATCCATGCTCATACTGGACCACCATTGGAAGTGGAAGGAAGCGCCCTATCAGTGAATATTTTAAAGGTGCGGTCCGTAAGAAAGAAAAAAGAAAGTCAATCAGAGGGCGAGAAGAACTCTTGACAAGGACTACACTCGTCACATGGCTACTGTTTCAGTCATTATCTAATTTGCCCTCTAAACGGTGCATATACATCCATCTAGACCTGTGCATGGGCCGGGTAGCCCGATGGGCTGGCCTGACCCCCTGACAGGCTTGTGCATGAACTTTAGTCCGCAGGCCTAAAAGCCCGAGCCCAACTATTTTACGGGTCGGGTTCGGGATTTGTCACAAAAGCCCAACCCGAGCCCGGCCCAACCCAACATTTTGTATTTTATTGTAAACCCTAGCCGATTAACCTTTCCCATTCCCTCTTTTCATCTTTCTCTCCTCATTCTCACTCTCAATAACCAGCACGAATCCAAGCAAGTAGCCATTGTTCTCAGTCTCAGAGGTGACGGGCAAGCTCAGGCACCGACAGACTCAAGCACTGATCGTCTCTCTCTTTAACGGTGAGTCCTCTCTCTCTCTCTCTCTTAGTTCACACTCGCACATTCTCAAGATTTAGGAACCGACAAACTCAGGCACCGACGCCAACCACGCCACTAGTGAACTCAGTCGCCCCTCTCTGACAATGAATCTTCTCTCTCCACCATCCTCTCTCTCTCTTGTCTCTCTTACAGTTCTCATTCTCATGCATTGTTGCATATTCTCAGGAACCAGTGAACTCAAGCATCGGCGATGGCAAAATCAGGCACCGGCGCCAGCCGCACCACCAGTGAACTCAATCGCCCTACATTTCAACCTCTGTTAGGTCGAGATTCAGGCCCGGGCCCGGGCTTCAGGATTTTTATGAGGGCCAAACTCAGACCAGAGTTGTAGGCCCATTGGTCAGGCCGGGCTCGGGCTCAGGTCTGAAAAAATCTTGTTAATGAAGAGCAAAAACCCGACCCAACCCATGAACAGGTCTACATCCATCCCTATGGAGTATGGACTGTGAAGCTGCCCAGAAGATCTGAATTGTGATTTCCCCAAAATTAGGGGTACAACTTGGGTGGAGTCTCGATGAAACCGGATTCAATCAGTGCAAAGCCCATTTGAACAACCATTATGAACTTGCATTGGGAATATCTCCATGAAATAAAGCACAGAAAACAAACATGGAGATGTTCCCGATGTAAAGCTGTAAAGGCTATTTGAACGGTGTCCAAGTAGGCCTTGCACTGACTGAAGCTGATCTCAGTCTCGATCCATTTCCTAAAAAAAAGGGAAAAAAATTGGGTTGAGAAATCGAAAAAAAGAAAATCTTGGATTGAAAGCTGAAACAACACCCAGCCAAAGTTTCCCATTGCGCTGGGCCAATTTCAACCCAAGCAAAGGCCCGGTTGGGATTGAATTGGGGCTTTTGGCATTGTATTCATCCATTATCACGTTCTGCATCCAGTACACCAACAGAGGGGTCTGACCTAGAGGATAAATTGTCAGTGTAATCTGATGGATCTCAGGGGGCAGGTTCTCATAGATGGCACATACATAATCATTAATGCACCAAACCCCATACATGAGCAAGAGGTCAGAGTCCAACTAATATTTAATAACTTCTGTTAACTCGTAATCACTGTAATCACTAATCAGTCTGTAAGAGGTCTCTGCCTCGTCAATAAATTTATCCTTTGACAAACAAAAAGAAGAAATCAACAAACGGTTTGAGAGGAAAATACAAAGTACGTTGGGGCTCATATACCAATATGACCATCTTTTCATCATCTCATATGAAGGTACCAGTATCACTAAGCAATCAAAAAAGAAAAAAAAAAAACGAAGGTATCACTGACATACCAACGCCAGGAATGCCACTGCGACCATGCAAGAATAACCCTGCGATGGTGACTACCCAACATCCTGGATTAGCCGTACGTATGGCAACTTAGGTTTAAAGTCTACGTAAAAGGTTTAAAGTAAAACTTCGATATCGGATTTGGTCCTCACAGAACCGTCTTCACAGCCATTTGCAGTCGTGCATTATAACACCTTCATACTTGTAAAATTTTTTCCCAATGCACGACTGCAAGGGACTGTGAGGACGGTCCTGCAAGGACCAATTCCGATATCCTAAAACTTCCTGGTGTCAAAATCAAACTTAACTAGGACAAAGTTCAAAAATTTATAGTTTACAAAAAAAACTAGAAAATCAAAGAAAACAAATGACAATTTGCCTAACTGCTTGTCTAAAGCGCTGTTGATAGATGGCCAAAAAAATCCACACAAGGATGTAAAACAGAAGTAACATCTGTCCCTCTCGAGACCCTGCATTGGCAAGAGCCTTGTGCATTGGGCTGCCCTATTAGATAACAGCCTAACAGGTGCAGCAAGGATCATTACCGTCTACAACATGTCCATTGGGAACCATCCAACTCTCATAAATCTTTACCATGCTACAACCCATCATGACAAAGAAGTTTCCAGGACGAGTGACCATTTTAGGAACACTAAAGTGAATTGACTATACAAAAGTTTCCAGGACGAGTCATCAGCTATACAGTAGTTTTCGTTTACAGAGTTCAATGCATATTCTTATACTACCGATTTGATTAAAAGTCAGTCTTATCTGGCAAATATTTATAAATTATAATTTCATATGAGCATGTTTTGGATATTCTATGTGAGACTCCCGATCAATATGCATATAAGAATGCCAAAAAATAACGAACAGAGAGGTTGGGGAATTGGTTAACCCATTAAACTCGGCGTTTCTTCTTCTCTGGGGTTGAATGTACTTGTGCTTTGGTCCCATATGTTCTCATCTGGAAATTTTCGAAGGCATCAGAAACTGCTTCAACCTGCAAAACAGATCCATGAATAAAATTCATGATTTAACTGCAACAGGGACAAGAAAAATCATGAATGATCTCTTCTATCGTCTTTCACAAACCAATTCAGCCTTTTTGGAGTACACCCTGACTATCATATCTTGATAGGATGCAGGCAGCAGGTGACTTATTCTATCATCCTGTATGGAAAATGAATCCTCGGTCTCATAATCCTGCTACAATACAAGTTGTTAAAACTAATATTGTGATACATAAATATGACATTGTCTGCAGGTAAAGAAAATGTTACTTCAGATATCAATGAAAGAGGACGATAAATACATAGCCTGCATACACAACGAAAAATTGCACAAACTGTCTTTGAACATCCTGATAATGAACAGGATGCCCCCTTAAAGGTTCATGTGTCTTGTATAGGATACAATATCAGCAACCATGAGGCTATGAATTCAACTAGTTAACCATGGATTTAAAAAATTGAAATTGATCACTAAGGCATGAGTAATAATAGCCTATTATCACCTGATAAACCATAAATCATAAACAACTAAGCCAGTAAATAACTAAACCAAAAGTTAAAATTTGATCTTCAGAAAAGGAATAAATAGGGTTTTGAATAGCTCCCTGGTTAAGTGAAAATACACAGAAAAAAGGGATTAAGAACCCTAGTTTACAGATCTACATATACAGGTATCAACCCAAAATAGGGTTTATGTATTTATATCAATATATAAAGTGGGTATAACCTATTTGCCTACAGTAAAATGTTCATATATATACTTGGCCACTTGGTTGTCTAGGTATCACTTTAACAACACTAACTATAAGATAGTAGCATTCTTATGCCTGGTGGACTCGGTAACCCAGCCAAATATTTGGTATCTGCCATTTTCGTTCGAGTTGTTTTGCATATGACAGCCTAGGCAGTGTTGCATTGACACCCCATCTTTAGAGGGCTTGAGAGTTAATAGTAAGAACGAATGAGGGAATGGGATTCACTTAGCTTTCTTAAATTACTATGTCAAGCACCCAACTCAACTTATTAACTCAGCCTTAGCCCCAAGTCCAACTATTTGGAGAACGCTGTCCTGCTACTATACTCTATCAAGAACAATGCTTTCTGTTAAACTACAAGTCCTTGGATCATTTTTTTACCACTTTGTCTCATGCTTTCTTTTGTCCTCTCCTTGCTCTTTTAGAGCTTTTTTTTTTTTTTGAAATAAAACAGGAGTGCACCACATACAACGGGGGGTAGTGCGTCCCCAAGTAACTCCTCAGTGTTTGTTATGTACCCATTTATTTATTTATTTCTAAAAGAGGAATTATATCAAATAATAAGCTTTCTCTAGTTCAATAATTTGCAAGCCATTGACTTCCAGAGATTTTTCTTTGAAGCAAGTACTACAGTTAAGAGGCCAAATATGTAATATATAGGAGGTTAATATTTCTGTGAGAATATAAAAACATTAAACCCTAGTTCTAATCAAGGTAAAAAGAATTCAAGAAAAAAAAATATGAAATTTTAGTACCTTGAAAAATTTGATGCTGGGGGAGAATATACATGCACAAAAAGAAAAGAATAGTATTAAATATGGAGACTAGAGGTTTCACAGAAGTACACAAACTTGATAAAATCATTATCAGACTCTTTCTCAAGTACCTCTCAAGAGGGTTATGCCTCCCACGAGTCAAATCAATCCTGACATTGCTAACAGCAACGTCTTCTTCTCTTAACATGACTTCACTAGTTTTCTACAATTAATGAAACTAGTCAGAACCTGGATAAAGGATTGGTCGTCGAATCTTAACAAAAATCATCTATACAGAAGAAACGCTTACTTGGGAACAAACTATATCTTGTGGAGTAACATCTTTGAAATGATCCAATTGATCCTTTGGAACAGCATACTCATTACAAAACTGCCATAAATAAACATAAAGCACCAAAGCACATTCTCCAAAAATTAAAGATCTATAATGAATATTTGTTCAGTAATAAAAAATCAATTCAGAACAACTCCAAGAAGTTTCTTTGTTAACACACTTTGTCCATGGACAGGTTATTTTGACCATTGTTTTGAGTACAAAAAGAAGAGGCAGAATTATGTGGAGTACAAGGGAAACAGTGATCTGGACAGTTTGTGAAGAGAGGAACAGAAGAATATTTGGGGAGAAACGGAAGGGCAAGGATACATTAATTGAGATCAAAGCCCTAAGAGTTGCACATTGGATGAAGATACAGAAACTTTTCTCAGACTTTACAGTGGATCACTTTTTTAAGAACTAGGGGGCAATAACTGGCTCTTCCTCTAGGAAACCAAAAATCCTTTGAGGTTTGCTTACCCCCATGTGGTGGTTGGATAAAATTGAACTTCGATGGCAGCAGCATGGGCAACCCTGGACCTTCAGGGATTGAGGGGGTGATAAGGGATGAGGGTGGATTTGTCCTTTGTTTTCAGGTCCAATAGAAGAAGGTGATTTAGTAAGGGCAGAACTTTTGGCAGCAGTTTTTGGGGTGCAAAAAGTAAAAAAAAAAATGGAAATTGTAAGGTTGATCATTGAAGGGGATTGGAAGATAGTAGTAGGGTGGCTGATAAAGGATAGGGAGGTAGGCAGTTCAAAATTGAACTTCAATTATCTCTCCAAAGATTTGAACATTCAAATAAGATGGGTAAGAAGCTTTGCTAATTGTCCGGAAAAACAAGTTCTTCATAAACAGCAAATGTATTGGACACAATTGTAATAGGGTGGTGGGGTATGTGTGTAATGTAATGGCTTAGTTCAGTTGTATTCACAACCACTTGTCGTAACACCTTTTTATTTTAATCATTCAATGAAATCTTTTCCATGTCACTTACAAAAAAATAAACAAAAAAAAAGGTAAAAGTGTCAACAAACTTCAATACCTGGTACAAGTCCCTTCTACGAATACGTGAAATAATCTTCTTTGCTTCTGTCAGTTCTTGTTTTGGAGATGTTTCAATGGTCTTTAGTATTGTGTCATCTAACTGCAAATGCCCAAAAGGTTCTATAAATATGCCTTATGAATATATGAAAAATGAAATATAATCAATTAAATAGATGTAGTAAACCTTCCAGTATTCAGCCGGGTCATCAACATGAGAGGTAATTCCTAGACAATTATTTGTTTCTAGCAATGCATCTACAAACATAAGCTCTATTGCCTGAAAAAGAACATACCAGTTTAACCATTCAGCCTTTAAACATAACAATAGAATGGGGAAAACAGATAGACGTTCTTAGATGAGTTGGAAAATATAGATTATGCCTAAAACATTTACCTTGACTTTTGCATGTGTATAGACTGTACGATACAGATCAGCTCGAGTAGCAAATAACTTGTGAATTGTGAGATCTGTAAAAATAATTAAAAATAAATAAGTACAAGGATCATAAAGTATGAAACTGAAAATTGAATTCTAAACAATAACAGAATTCTAAAGAAAATACTTACAATCCTTAGAACGATAGCATATTTCATCGCCCAAAACCCGCATTGTTTCCATTAACCTGCAAGTGAAAAGAAAAAATGCTGATGCTAGCAAAAGCGCAATAGTTCTACCATGCCACCTGAAGATAGTAAGATAATATTTGTAAATCTTAATATAGGACAAGACGCCAGCTCTAAAGAAATGTTTTAGACTGATCCTGGCTTTTTCCCAGAAAGCTGGCTTGGTGGCAGGTTGGATGGTTTTGCTCAGTGGAATAATCAAAATGTCAAAAACCCAGACCCGGTCAGCCATCTGGGTCACCATTTCAACTGCCCAGGTAGAAAACACTAAAATCCTTTACTTGTCACTTGTATAAAATTCACTGGCTTTTAAGGCAATTTGGGATTAACACCTCACATTTGTAAAAGATGTCAAAATGAAGGAATAATATATTTTACCATTCACAAGTGGGTAAATCCCCAGTTTGCATGTGCAAGACTTACTCTTATCAATAAGAATATCTAAAAACAAAATTCCAACCCATACCTCTCAAATTGAAAATTGCAGCCTAGACCACAAGCTCGGCAATCACGAGCAATGTAATCAAACCTACAAATAAAGATGTCCTTATGGTATTACTCTTGTAAGTATAAGTATCTACCATAGGAAGAGTGGGGGAAAGAGAACAGTATTCCAATAAACAAATCTCATAATTAGAATATGACCTACTTGTCAACATCTATCCCATTTCGACCATTTGCAACAATATCATACAAGAAATGCTTCTCTTTCATGCTCTGGAGAAGACAAGTGATATGAATTTGCTTGATAGAAAAACACCATAGCTTAAATGTGCATGACTTGTGATATGGAGAGTTAGAACGTTTAGCAAAAATTACTTTTAAAAACACCATAGGTTAAAGTTAAAACACTTTTAAGGCCCAAAGCACAAAGCCTACAATTGGGGCTTTGTGCTTTTGGGTTTAAAGAGCACAAATCATGAAGCTTATCTGAACACAAAAGAAATTATTGTTAAAATGGCTTACCTTTGGCAGTGCAATTTCAGAGCTGGCAAGAATCATTTCCTGTCAAAATGGAAAATCAGATACACACAGATATATAATGAAACACACACATGACAATGATGTACATCTATAGTTATCTGATATAATACTGGTCTACCATGTTTAGTCCATCAAGCATCTTTTATACGCAGAGCTAAGTATGTATGAAGGAAGATTTGGCCCGACCTCGTAATCACACAACACGTGGCAAAGGCAAACAGCTTGGCACAACAGCGCGCCCAGGGCGCGAGCACCAAAGGGAGGAAAACCAGCAGTCCGAACTCCCTACAAGGAGCCCGAACTCCCCACCAGCAATCCCTACGAGGAGCCCGAACTCCCTACTAGGAGCCTACTCCCTACGAGGAGCCCGATCTCCCTACTAAGAGCCCGAACTCCCTACGAGGAGCCCGAACTCTCCCTTAGGCCCCGAGCCACACAAGGCAATGACCCGAACTGGCCCGCCTCATGGCAGTTCGGGACACTCCCCTATCCGAACTCAAGATTTCACCTCGCTCGCCACTCCAGCACTTCGCCTCCGGGACGCCGAACTGAACAAACGTACCATACCTAACACCGAGGAGGTCCGTATCCAAGGGCAGCGCACCTGACTAACTTGGGATCTAACGCTTGACAGCCACACTTCAACGGTCACCTGCCACCGCCACCTGCCACCGGTCACCTGCCACGGCTCCGACAAAAGGGAGCAGTGGCGGTTCAGTCCAGCAGAGGGGATGACACCTGAACTGGCAGGAGCCCAGAGGTAATCATACCCGACCTGACAAAAGCTTAGGAGTGAGTGCACGAGGTGGTTATAAAAGGCACCCTACCCCCCAAGAACAAGGGATATGAACTTTGCGCCATCTGGTTTTATCTTGCCTAAGAAAGAATTCTAACTTGAGCTTCGGAGCATTCATACCGGGTTCCCCTTGGAGTTTCCTCATCTTCTCTGTTTCAGGCTCCTTGTAGCTCCGTTCAGAGGCAAGGTCGTCGACAGTTAGGACCAGCCGGATTGCGCACCATCAATTGGCGCCGTCTGTGGGAAATCGCTTCTAAAAGCCTCCCTCTAAACTCTCATAACCTCTTTTCTCCA